AAGCGCCGGTTGCGCAGGGTGATGCGGCCAGACCCATCGACCCTGACACGGTACTGGTCATGTCCTAGTGACTCTACTACCACCCCAGATCTGTCCCATGCTCGCGGGCTGCAGCCAACTAGGTTCTGGAGGAACACCGCCTCCCCGACTACGAGAGGGCGGAGCGGTCGTACGTGGTCTCTCAGAGACTCAGTGGTACGGGCCATGCGAGTCCGGAGGGCCTCTTCCTTCGCCGCCCATGCCTGACGCCAGAGCGGACGGATGTGAGGGTTGGAGAACTTCTCCAGCCTATTAACAAATGACAGCTAGTCCCTGAGGGGGTGACCAAAGATGATTTGCGCGGGCGACAGGTCGCAGTCGGGGTCAGGCGTATTGCGCAGTTGCAACATCGCATGCAGAAAGCGGTCATGGTCGAGGCTCCCGATCGGGCCGGTGTTCGAGACTAGTAGGCGCTTCGCCGTCTTGACAGCCACCTCCGCCCTTCCATTAGACTGGGGGAACCCAACCGAGGACACGCGGTGCTTGACCTGCCATAAGCGGAGGAAGTCGGCTGTGCGCCCTGCCGAGAACTCTGGACCTCCGTCGCTTGACAACTCCTCGGGCACACCAAACGTGGCGAAGAAAGCCTTCAAGTGACGGATAAGCCCAATGGAGCCCCCGAGATTGGTGCCCGCGGGAGAGCTCATGACTTCCACCCAGCCGGAGAGGCGATCGCCAATGACCAGGTAGTGGTGACCCCTGTAGTCGAAGAACACCTCCTCAAATGGCGTGGATGACGGTGATGCCGGCATGGGAGGTGTGGCCGCCTGCGAGGGGGCATTGCAGTCACGGTCTGCGCATCGCTCCCTGGTCAACAGGATGTCGTTAGACGCCATGCCTCCGTCGCAGACTTCTCCCAGGCATGAGACTGTGGTGAGCCAACCGCAACGATTGGCGGCTTCAAGGTCACGGCCCACTGCCGAGTTGCCCTCATCGGTGCAGGATGGGAACCCACTAGGCAGAATGCCGATGCTGAGCAGAGAGTCATACGAGAGGTACATCGCGTGAACTGACCTGCTAACATATATCATTGCGTGGCAGGACACCACCTCACCACCAGGGGCAGTAGTGGATAGTTTGGCAAAGAAGGCGCCCTCGATGTCAATGGGGGAGCTGTTCGCCGCTGATATGTTTAGGACTACCAGGTGAAGGGCGCTGCGCTCGAAACCGCACGCCAGAAACTCCTCCAGGGACCATAGGTCCGATTGAGCCCCCGTGTCTGCAATGGCGGACACGGTGGCCTCTGCAGCCGGGCATCTGGCACCGGCTCTACTAGTGAACCCCACCTTATTATCAATCTGGATGGAGATGGGCACTCGGGGGTGGTCCCTGAGCTTCGCGCGCCACCATTCGCCCTTGGAGAAGATGTGATGGCTGAGCCTGATCGGCGTGGGCCCATCACTGCAGCTATGCGTTCCCAAGGTGCGGGGTCGGTGCCTGTCTCTGCAACGTCCATTAGAGCAGACGCCCGACATGACGGATGAGACCTGCGATATCACCTCATGGCCTACAGCAGCCTGTTGTCCGTCCATGTGTGGCTGGTGCCGTGCCCGTCTCTTCCGGGCCCGGAAGCAGTCGGCACACATTCGATGAGGCTTGGTGTTCCAACCCCGAGATCCCTCAGAAAAAACACAGAAAGACACTTCACAATCAGGGCATATAGCCCTAGCAGACCTGTCTGGTGGGGCCGGAGAGGAAGCAGGCCCTGATGGTGGCATCGCTTGTCTGCGCCTGAACGAGGACATAGCTGACAGGCTGGAGGAGGGGAGGGTGTCGCGAGCCATTTCTCTGTTCTCCACCAGTGCTATAATATTATTCACAGACTTACACAGAACATCATGAGTCCCCAACATGTCCCTCCGTATATCAGAGTCATTAATCCCATTAATCAGTACATCACGAATAATATGATCAGAATAGTCAACTGACTGCCCGCATCCACACACAGCATTGTAGGTGCAGGTTTCTGCCTTGCCACACACCCTGGCGGCAAATGCACGAAAGGGCTCGTCACGATCCTGGCGTAGTTGAAGCAGTTCAGTTCTCAGAACGCATGTGGCAACCGGTATCACCGCCAGAGAGCGCATGGCAGCCAGCAGAGTCTCAACCGGTCCAGTTGCAGCATCCGGGTTAGCCTTTAGCAAACTGTCCCCAAGTTCCAGGCCGGCGCACTGAAACAGCTGGAAGGGGGCCTGGGCATCACTTATGCCCGAGCCAGCGCGGAAGAGGTTCCAGCGGCGTGTAAAGACGTTCCATTCCTCGATGGACATGCCGACATCCACTCTCGGTCGTTCCAGCGCAGGGCCAGGCAGGCCCGGGGCCCGAACGGGCGCAGCGGGTTCGGTCCGGCTCTGATGGGCCAGGCCATGGTTTGCCAGCAGCGCCACGGCGAGAGCCTCAGACACGTCGTCGGTGGCGAACGTGCAGGCTGGAACAGAGCATCTGACGACCACCATGGCTCCTTCATGAAGAAATACGCTCCTCGATGTCAAATGGTTTTATTGACAGGGATGAAGGAGCCCTGCTGCGACATACAAAGCTGAGTGAGCAGAAGCTAATGGCAGCGTGAATCAGCAGCATGGGCTAAAGACCAAAGCTAAGCAATGCGATAAAATGGGTAAATAAATGCAGCGCGGCTTAGCGTGTATACTGACAATGTAACCATTACATTAGCTTAACAAGCAGGTGAAGACTTACAGATCCAAGTCGAACAGTGGCATGGATAGACAGCAGTGTGATGGTTGAGCAGCAGTATGTACAGTGAGGGATCGTCACATGTACGTGACTTCCGGCACGTCCGTGAATACACCTTTTTCCCTCGAGGCTTGATCTCAGCACACCCTAGTGGCCAGTGGTGACCTCTGCACAATCGGTTGCATAACGCCTGTCTCATTTGAACTGCCTCATTTTTGCTTCTAGATAAGAAGTATATTATTCTACAGCTAGCCTGTTGTACCATGAACTCTGCAGAGTACATCGCTCCTGGGTCACATCGGTACTGCCCGACCCCGAACGGAGTCAGGACCAAAGGTTCCGGTCTGCCTGGGAGTCGCTCCAGCAAACCCAAAAGAATCTCCTACTGTTCTTCTCTAGTGAGACTTGCGGGGTTTTCCCAACAGCAAGTTTTTCTAGTTTATCCTTGGCGTGTTTCACGCCGGAAAGCTGTAGTTTCTTTCTACCTTTTCTTTCAGTTAGTCTTCCGTTCTCCCAATCTCTTTCCTTGCCGAGAGATGGTGCGTTTTTCCCTTACTCCAAGGTTATAAGCTTACCAGGTCCATGGTGCGCGAGCCATTTTTCAGCCTAGAAAATGGTCCTATTTCGGTGAGTCCGGTATCTAGTATTTACTTTCACTCAGTGCCCCTAATCTGTTGGGCGCCATGTCGCGAGCCTGTCCTATTTGTTCGTTCCGTTAGAACCTGGTTCCATTAGAACCTTAGAATACGCTGCTTTCTCAGGGAAGTTGGGGCCGCAGGTGAGTATTATTGTACTGACCCTGGTTTGGTCTCCCTAATTTAGAACTCGTTTTCTAGTTTAAGGTGAAATGAAATTTGCGCTACTTGTTCTTCTGTAATAACACACTTCCCTTTTAACTCTCCCGTTATTTAATTGTTTTAAATACTAGGGCAGAAGTTTAATACTGGAGGCCGTCCAGGCATCTATTATTTGGGTCCTATCAGGATGAATTTGCACCTCTGTCAGCAATGTGGGCGGTGGTAACTAGAAAATGATTCTTGTTGGCCAGACTAACATAGATTTATCAATTAATCTAATTAATCCACCCTTTGAAATGGTTCCTTCCCACGCTAAACAAAGACTTTTTAGTGCAAAAAAGAGCCTGTTTGAACCAACGAACAGTTATGAAATATAATCCTTAGGGTGTCCCGCTACCAAGGGGGAGGGAAGACAAACTCCCATTACCTAAGGTATCTTTTCTCAATCTGTCACAACCTGAAAACAAGTCCTGAAGCACAGGAACGAGCAAGGTGACTTACCTCTCCTAGAGGTCTGGTCGGGACTCCCAACTCAAAAGGCTAAAAGACCTTTAAGAATCGAGAACGAGGATTCTTTTTCCAAAAAATTTATTTCAAAATTAAAAAAATACAAAAAAGGGTAAATATATGATTAACCAATCCCCTTGGAGGATGCTAATACTAAAATCTTCCTGAGAATAACTGGTTGACTTGTGTCAACACTAAACTGTCACACTCTAACTCTAAGTTCAACTCTCAACTCTAACTCTTCTAGCTGCCCTTTTTATACTTATCCTAAACCACTTCCAAGCAATATCTCAAACAGTCATGAGACAGCCTAAACAATGTAATCTTTTTCCAATTACATACATCTCATTATCACAAGACAGCAAAACAATGTGATCATTTGTCAGTTTCATATCTTAGCTCAACACAAGACAGCTAAACCCATACAATGTCATATTTGTAAGCTGGTCTTCAGCCCCTCCCAAAGTCCAGAACTCTCCATTGGAGGGCTTGTCATTTCCTGAGATGCTTTTCTTCAGTTGGTCTTCTTTTGTTCCAGCTTCGGTGCTTCTTGTTCAGCTGGACCCGTCCTCCTTATCTTCTGGCTGATTTTACTCGCATGAGCAAGTTCAATCTCATCTCTGTGTCCCTTCTGTTGACTCCGTTTCATGCCACTGTTTTTGGCATGCGAGAACTTGCAACAATCTTAGCTGATCCTAGAACTGCACTTTTCTGGACTGAGGTGTCTGATGTTTTTTTCTGGATCTTCTGTAGCCCCTCCTCCAGTTAGGAGGAGACTGCCCCGAGTGCTCCGGTGATCGCGGGCACCCCAGGAGTTCTCAACATCTTCTTTGAGGCCTTGGTGCTTCTCTGGTTTTGTGTTCCATTTTCCTGATGTTGCCATATATATAAAATATATTTATTATGGTATACACATACACATACAAGTGTATGTGTTAAATGAACCACATAAATAAAACCATATAAAAAACTAGAAATACCATTTATTATACATGAAAATCTGGGACACAACTACATGACGTGACATGGTAGAAGTGATCTAGGTCAGGGCTGACACTTGGCAGTGTGATGTTGTTCTGGTTAGAGATGTGATTGTGTGTTCTAGCTAAGCCTTCCGGTGCTAATGCGTAACGACTCCATGTATAAGCCTCTTATGTCTCTGCATGCTGTAGAGCTTGAGAAAACCCTTGCCACAGATTGGGCAAACACAAGGTTTCTCCTCCGAGTGTATTCTAGTGTGTGCAGTGAGATCACATGTTCTAACAAAGCCTTTTCCACAGGTGTGGCATCTAAAAGGTCTCTCTTCGGTGTGATGTTGAAGAACATGCCTCTTCACCTCAGTAGCCGATCTAAAGCACCTGTCACACTTTGGCATTGTACATTTAAAAGGCCTCTCTCCTGTGTGGATTAATTTGTGTCTTGCCATATTTGACAATGAGACCATCTTCCCACAGTAGGGACATGGGTACCTGGACGGCTCGCTTAAGTGTTTCATCTTCTGGTGTTTCTTCAGTGATTCATTTTCTTTAAAGGATTTGTCACACTGAGAACAGGAAAAACGTTTCTCATGACGAGACTCGCTGTGGATGACTCTCAGGTGCCGGAGAAGGTTGGACTTGCGGGCAAAAGTCTTGCCACAGTCTGCACACAGGTAAGGTTTCTCCCTGGTGTGTACTCTTTGGTGGGCCACAAGGTCACAGTCAGATTTGAATTTCAGGTTGCACAGAGTGCACTGGAAGGGCAGACAGCCGGTATGCTGCCACTCATGTCTGATTAAAAAACGAAGTCTGGGATAAGTTTTGGGACACTGGCTGCACTGGAACGGCCTGCTGACTCTATGTACGTTCTCATAGTGTCTGAGCAGGTGCTTAAAGACGGCAAAGAACTGATCGCAGCGAGTGCAGTGAAATGGAGCATGGGAAGCCTTATGTCTGGCCAATGTAGCAGCATCTCTTAACACCCTCCGACACACACTACAATACAGCTCATGGTGCGTCATCATGTGCTTCTGCAAAGAAACCTTATACCTAAACTGGTCTCCACATTTTTCACATTTGGAAACATCCTGGGTTGTGTTCAGCACATCTGGATCTCTACCCGGCTGAAGGTAGTCAAAGCAAGTCTTTTTCATGTGTCGCAGCAGAGATGTTAGCAGGTTGTACCTACCATCACACTGAGGACAGGTGTAGTCTTTGTTGGGAAAGTGTGTTTTCATGTGCATCCTCAGACTTTTCTTTACCTGCTCCTTACAGATAAAACACACTGGATTCTGAGTCTTCTTCAGAGATCTGTCTATGCTTGAAGTGGAAGCATTTTTTGGATTCAGAAAAGTACAGTCTCTAGTTAAATGGCTAGACAACAAGTCAGTTTCGGCCAAACTGTTGACGGGATCTAGAACCGAAGAATCATCACCTGAATAAATGGACCATGAATCAGCAGCACTAGTAGTGTTAGCTTCACGTGAGTTTTCTGAGTAATAGGACCATGAGTCTTCAAAGCTGTCTTCACTGATTGTGCTGACGGGAGCCATGCATGAGTCGTCATGGAGAGGACTGGAAACCTCTTTCTCTGAAGCCTCAGATGAAGTACTGGGTGCCTCTGGAAGGGGATGTTTTATCTCCTGCAGAATCTTTTTCAGACTGAGGTCTCTGGTCACTCTCACAGGTTGAAAGTCCACAAATTTGTCAAGTCTCTGAAGCTGAACACAACATTCCTTTAGGAGGCAGGACACAGGGTTCACCTGGACTCCAAGGACACCTCTATTAGTTCTAACTTCATCTCCCAGAAGAAGCTGGGTTCCCTTTTCATCAGAGGCCAGATGACATCTGTCCATCACTGACTCATTGGTGAAGCGCTCTGGGTTAGTTTTGATCTGAAATGAACAAGTTGGTGCTGCAGAGTCCTCCTTTGCAGTAGACTGACCCGCAATGCTGAGGTCTGGTGTTTGAACAGCATTAGCTGTTTGTGGGGTGGGAAGTCTGAGCGCAGAAAGGATGCAGGAACGATCAAGAAGTAAATCTGTGAAGAGAAAAAAATAAGAAATCATCTAGAAAGACAAATGTTTCTTGTAGTGTTTCTACAGAGAAGTTTTGATTTTGTTTAATCAATCAATCAATCAATCAATCAATCAATCAATCAATCAATCAAAGCTTTATTTATAAAGCGCCTTCCGCAACCCTGTCGGGAAGCCCAAGTTGCTGAACATAGTACATGGTAAAGTTAAATATGGTGAATAAATCGAAAATAAAAGCAATTCAAATTACAAATTTAAATACAACATAAAAGAGGGTCATTGACCAGACCAAACCGGGTCTGCGGCGGGGCTGCAGTACCAGGATCGCGCACAGGCACAGTCTCCTTTAACTCTGAGCCCGTAACCGAGCGTAGATTCTCCCAGCAAACCCCAGTCTGGCGAGGTCCTCGAGCCGATTGGCCGTGGCGCAGTGCCAGCTCACCCGCAGAGCCGGACAAGTTCACGAGGCAGGGCGCAGAGTAATCCATAAGACATCTCGGAACCACCGGGTCAGAAGCTGGGCCGAATCGGACCAGCCGCTTCTTCAGGGATCCAGGGAGTCCAGCCCGACGTCTCACGCGCCAGCTACCTCTCTTTCCCCGTCAAAAGCCAATAAAACGCAAGGTTCCATTGCATAAAGAGGACGAGCAGCTCGCTGCGTGCACCCGCGCGAGCGCCAACTCAACCCAGGAAAGTTCTTTTAGGAAAGCCAAACTGTCAAAAATCCTTAAACAGAAGTTAAAACATCTGCTAATTCTGTGAAGCTTGGAGTGAAGTCACAAACCGAGTTCCACTTCATTTCACCAGTGCTGATTCGCGTTGTCCAGTCGTCGTATTCCACTCCATCTGACCACCTCAGTGGCCAATCGTGATATGCCTCTTGTAAAAAACAACTGTAACGGCTCAGCCCGTTGCAATGTCAGGGTATATACAGCAATCCTTAAGTAAAATTTACTACTTTTTAATACTTTTTTTACTACCTTCAGAATTTTTTTTAAAACCATCACAACACTAAATTGCAAGTGTTAATCAGCGACCTATTTACACATATTTTAACATATATAACATACAAAAAGAATTGACTTAGAGACTCACTGATGTTGACAACGCATTGCACATATTTATTTTACTTAGAAAATAAGCCAGGCACTTCTGTTCAGCGGTTCAGACAGTTGACCATGAGGCCTGAAATGATGCACAACGACCACTAAATATGACGTCATCATTATGTGACCGGATATGTTAAAGTAGGGCTGCTCGATTATGGCAAAAACAATAATCACGATTATTGTGACTGAAATTGAGATCTCGATTATTTAAGACGATTTTTCAATTTATGTAGATTTTTATTTTTTTATTTTTATTCAGTCATAAAACTGCTCAGGGCACAATCAGGGCAAAAATAAACAACAAGATGATCACTAAAATAACTCCTGATTCCCAGTATAAAAAGACCAATATACTTATAGCTCATAGTTTATGACCCAAGGGTCATAAACCAAGACCTTGGTTTAACTCATTTAAGTCTAACCAGTACAGACCCAAGTACCAATATCTTGCAAATACTGACAGCAAGAATTATACAGTGGCATTTATAACAAATAAATGCAAATTGCTGTTCACTAAATGTTGCATAGCATTTATTTAGTCGTGTCAAGGTGCTGTAGGAGAGTGCACTAGCACCGTGTCCTCAGAGAGATTAGTTATTATTTATCAGCGTGAGGAACTTATTTCTACCTTATTTATAAACTATTTATTTCAGGCACGTGCAGGGGGGGGGGGGGGGCGGGGGGCGCCGGAGGGTGCTTGAGACCCTGCCCCTTTTCTCCCATGTGCCCAAAGTGCCCTTTTTGAGGTTTAATGATTTTTTTTATATTTATTTTATTTTATTTTTTTAAGAATTTTCTGCTTGTGCCCCCTCAAGAATAACAAAAATTAATAATTAATAAAATTTCTGTTTAATAATGTTATATAGCTGGCGTGAGTCACGTGACCATACCGTCACGTGACCATTCCGTCTCTTCCTCACGCCAGAGCGCACAGCCGGTCACAACAAGCTGCAAGCAAGCACCCACGTTTCCTTCATGGCCGAGGGAGCGGTGCAGAGCTTTTAGGACATACATATTGATTGGGAGAAACGGACTAACACCGGTAAGTAGGATGCACACTACTATACACAGTTATTAGATTATTTTGTACATTATTAAGTTGTTTTGTGGCACTAGGTGTGTGATATATTACTAGCTGGGTGTGTGTCTGTGGCTGGGTACTGATTCTGAGCCTCAGTAACTTTAGAATTAACCAAAAACATTCTGTACATAAGTACTTGTACGAAAATATTTTTTCAATCTTAAATATTGGGAATTTGCCAATAAAATGTCATTGCTGTTAACTAGGTACCGCAAAGTTGCATTCCTATCGCTGCTGCGTGTCACGTGACTAGGGTCTCACACAGCCCTGCTTCTTGTTTACAAAATCACTTCTTGGTTCGCGGTCGGACTAATAAAACTTGGACAAATTTAAAATTTAGCTACCTTTTGTGAAAGGAAATAAGAAAAATACTAAAGGTAACATACGTCACAAGTTTTGTGTTACAAAATATTCAGTCCTTGTGTGTAAATTCGGTCCAGCGTTTTAGGGAACATAGTTTTGTTTTAGATTTTAAGGTTTCTCAGCCCTTCTGGTGGGTTTTTTAGTTCACTAATACTATGCATATTCTCAAAATTTGGAGTTTATATTTGCTCTCTTTTTGAATGCATTGTATTAAAAACATTATGTTTTAAAGATGTACATTTAAAAAAAACTACTGTTTTCACAGCAAAATTATTTTATCTGTACAGTTCTCTGTTTTGCACAAAGTAGATAGTAAAACTGAATGAAAGCATAAACATATTGTTTTATTCTTTATTTTTATTATAATTACTAAAGCACTATGATTAAAATATTATGGAAATATTCTGGATCAGCATCATGAAGCAAATTTGTGGCCAAATTATATACAGTTAGTTTTCTGGAAAAGGAATGAAATGTCCCAGTATGTGTATGCATGAGTTTTATATGCATGAAAAAATATTTGTAAATTAATTATGATATATCATTGTACAGACATGCCTCGTAAGGAGAGGAGGCGGAAGCAGCGACAGAAAGAGCTATGTGAGGCAGCTAAAGGCAGTGGGTCCCTCACCAGCTGGATAAAAAAAAAAAGAGTACAGGTCAGCTGCATCACAGCAACAAGTGTAGAAACAATAATATACACAAGTGCAATGTTTTGATGCCAGAAAATGTTTTTTGTTAGCCTCTTGATCATGGATTAGGTGCAAGACCTGTTAAATGTGAATAACTACATAATTCATTCATACAATAGCTAATTTTGCCTTGTTCTCAGATGGACAGCAAGTGGAGAGTGATAGATCACATGAGATTGAAGACACACACACACACACACACACACACGCACGCACGCACACACACACACACAACTCTTTCTGTTTATATTTCTGTCACATTCTTATCTCTGACATAAACTCCTCTATTATCCACTAATGTTTAGATTTCCATTTATTTACCACAGGTGTTGTCTCAGATATTTCTGTCTTACAGTTCTAAGAGTTTTCACCATTTTTTGCCATTGTTTTATTATCTTACATTAATTTTGTAATTGACTAACATTTCTCCTCTGTTCGTTTTACTACCTACAGTCTGAGATCAACACAGCCTTGCCCTCCAGCATCATCAACAGCAGCAAGAGGAGCAACCCTGCAACAGCTACATTGTACCCCATCATCAGGTAAAACAGGACAGCAATAGATCAGGAGGTGGAGCAGGTTGTCCAGTAATGGGAACGTTGCAGGTTTGATCCTGACTTCAATCAGAGATTGATGCTGTTGTGCCCTTGGGCAAGACACTTAACCTGCTTTGCCTGCTGGTGGTGGTCGGAGGGACTGGTGGTGCCTGTGCTCAGCAGCTTCACCTCTGTCAGTGCGCTCCAGAGCAGCTATGGCTACATCATAGCTCATCACCATCAGTGTGTTAATGTGTGTGTGAATGACTGACTGTGTTGTAATGTGCCTTGGGGGGTTGTAGAACCCTAAGAAGGCATTACACAAATACAGATCATTTACCAAAACAAGTTATTTTTGCTTTACATTGTCCTTATGTGGTAAGGGTGTATATAATGATTTGCTTCCATTTTGAATTTCTAATAAATATGATTTGTTATTCAGCCGGGTATACTGTGGTTATGTCATGGTGTTTGAAAATATTATTCTGTGTGCCCCTTTTTAAATTTGAGCACCCGCCCCTTCAAAGGTCTCTGCACAGCCCTGATTTATTTACAGGTCCATCAGTTAATGTAATAATTGTCCCAACCACAGCTGCACCCCCACCCCCCAACCCGGTCTCAGCAATCAGGGGCAAGCTGCACGTGTGTTTAGCGCGCCGCACGCGCACATTTAGCCGTTTTTATCGGCTCAGGAGTCCGCAGGTGCAGTGTGTGTGTCACTCACTCTGGTTACTCCAACAGGGAGCCGGCTCCGAGAGCTGTCTTTAGTGACTGACACATCACTACATCATTCCCTTTCCTAATGTCCTGAAGAACGGTCCGGAGTGCAGGCGGAGTGTTTAGCTAACCTGCAGGAAATGTCAACGACAGTTATCCAGAAAGTAGCTAAGGGTTACCAGAGATGTTTCTGAGGTGCTCGCTAGGTACTTTTAAGATTTAAAAAGTCAAGAAGCGGGTCTGAGAAGCTGTTAGAAATAGCATCAAAGTCGCCAAGTTCACTTGGCAACACTGGGAGGAGCGCTTCATTTGCAACTCAAGGCAGCGCATGTGGGAGGAGCAAATAATCGGCTTGTTTTGTTTTTAAAATCGTTCAAAACATTTCATTCGGAATATATTTCTATGTCGATGTTCAGAATACGACATCTGATAGTCTGAAAAAAATAATACCTAATTTGGAAAAAATAATACCTCTGAGACCAAATTTAACACTTTTAATGGCCTTAAATTTGACTATTTTTATTTATCACTTTTTAATACTTTTTAAAACCCCGCGGACACCCTGAATGTTGAATAATTCGTCCCACGGAAAACAGGGGGTGACGCAAAACGCCTTACTGCAGGAACACTTCTCTTTAGTGTCAGCTGATGACCTAGCTCATCTTCCTCAAGAGGGAGGATTGTTTTCAAAACCCTCGCCTCAGACTCCGGCTGCGGGTCTTCTTTTACCATCTTCCAGCTATACAGCTGATCTGTCTGCTGGACCTTCATCCTCCTCCTGTATACATAAAATCCCCCACTAAACTACAGAGAAGAATCTGTCACAGATCGCTCCAATATCTAAAGTTTTGCCTCCAATTTCTGTCTATTTACTCCGCTCTTTAACAGCTTATCATCACTCCATTTTCACGCTGTCACTCATGCAGCTTCCTGTCCTGCAGCAGCGAAACACTACTGAACCATCCTCATCGATTGAAGATGTGAGATTTCCACCCACAGCAATGGGATCTCATGTTTTTGTGTTTTATTCTTCATGTTCGTGAGTTCATCTCATCTCAGCTCTTGTTATTATTTTAAGTATAACTCTGCTTTAACTTGGGCTTTTAAGACAAATAAAAACGAGTGTAGTTTATAATCCATATTTTAAACATTAGTTGAAACCAAAAATCAGAGAGGCAGAGTGTTACTGTTGTGGGTTCCCAAAATAGTGTTTTCATTGGTCAATTGCAGACAGGAGTCGTAGGTTTTCCAGTCGGGCTTGATGACTGTTTGAGGCTGAGTTTGGTCGTGAGAAGGCTCAAAAAGCTGTCGCAAGGTCAGTCAAACTGTGCATTCACAGTAGGGGTTGTACGAAATAGTCGACTTCACGGCTCTGTAGTGACTTTTTATGCCTGTCATCGACTAGTCGCTGTCACGTGATAATGACTGACAAGATGCAGTCCTCGGAAAAGACAGCAGGTGATGAGCCCCTGCGCGTCTGGATCGAGGCGGAGGCGACGCGCTGTGCGGTAGACACCGGCGGTAAAACGGACATTTAACCAAACTGTGACGTTTTCCCTCTTGCAATTTAACCTTCCCCTCACCCCCATCCTAATCTTAACCAGTTTGTGCATGCAAAGCTCTGATCACTGACGTGCGCTCCAGACATTGCATCCTGAGCACCGCCAAATCAGGTGTCACCACCTCAAAAACAAATTAAACACGCGATCGTTCATGTCGGCTCATTTCCTTTCATGTTTTCTTTCTGTTATTTGTGCCTGATGCATTTCGCTGCTGCGGAGCGATGCGCATCACCTGTTGTCCTCCGGTGACGCGCCCCCAAGATTCCACTATCTCCGCTCCGCTCCGGCACGAACTCCGCAGCAAAAACGGTCCCATTATAGTCGGCCGGCGAGCAGCGGCACTCCACTGTTTTAGCGGTCGGTAGATCTTTTAGAACTGCAGTTCAAAGGTAACTCATAAGGTGAATATATATGAAGCCAGGTAGCAGTTTTTCTTTAGGATTGAGAGGAGATGCAGGAAGATAATAAACAGGCAGGACAGAAAAATAGTCAAATATAAACAAGTTAGTTTTTGTACCTGCTGGTTGCAACAAACAGACACCATTGAAGGTAATCAGAAGTGAGGACCAGAAAATGAAATAATTATTTTAATGTTTAGAGCAGCAGGAACTCCGAGAGGCTGCAGGCACATCAGTGAGTTTGCGGCTGCTGCGCAGGGGGAGGGGGCTGAAGTAGGATGCAGAAACTACCGTTGTTAAAAGAGATGTGTTAACTTAGAAAATGTGGGCGCAATTTTAATTGTCAAAAAATTCCAGCGAACCTACCGACCGACCCCCCCGCCGCTTCCGGCGTATGACGTCATCAACGACTAGTCGAAGTCGACTCGACTTTCATTACTTGACTGTCGACTTTAAAAAAAAATAAAGTCGTGCAGGCCCTAATTCACAGATATGCAAATCACCGGTTTTTGTCACGATTCTTCTCACAAGGAGGGATTTGGCTAAGATGGGTGAAAATCATACAGTGTGGTCTGAGCATCAAACAAAGCTAGGCAGGATTAGATTTCAACAACCGAGACCGTTTTATTTGCTGACTTACCGTTCTGATCCAGCTGGTTTAGGTCTTTGTGAAACTGCAAAAGTGCTCCCAGTTCATCACACCAACTGACTGGTGTGACGACTGACTCAGCTGACACCGACTGCACACATTCCTCCAAGATGCAGGACCCCTCACCAAACACAGATGCAACCTGGTGACCAGTACAAACAACAGGAGAAGTAAATACACTTTCTGAAGGAAAAGAAGGGAAATGTTTCAGTATGCTTCTTTTACCTGATGGAAAGTCTGAACAGGGAGGAACTTTTCCAACCTGGTCAGAAACAACCACATCAATGCTTGGATTGCTTCATCGTACATTGGACCAAACTCTTCATCAAAAACCTTCTGACAAGCAGAAACTGTATGTTATTTATTTGGTACAGAGGAGAGACACCTAAACAATATAAAATGAATTTCATTACATCAAATTGAGTGAGAACAGTAGAAACAGTCACCATCATGTTAATAGTTCGCTACACTCACTGGCCACTTATTTGGGGACACCTTGCTAGTACCGGGTTAAACCCCCTTTGACATTTAGAACTGCCTTAACCCTTTGTGGCAATGATTCAGGGTATTTTTGCCCACAGAACTGCCCCTCACTAGATGTTTTCCTTTTTTCGTACCATTCTCTGTAAACTGTAGAGATGGTTGTATGTGACAGTCCCAGAAAATCAGCAGTTTCTGAAATACTCAGACCAGCCACCAACAACCATGCCAAGTTCAAAGTCACTTAAATCACTTTTCTTCCCAATTCTGAAGCTCGGTTTGAAATGCTGCGGATTGTCTTGACCATGTCTACATTCCAACATGTGATTGGCTGTTTAGTAATTTGCGTTAATGCGCGTTGGACAGAACAAAATAGCCAGTGAGTGTATATGTTAATAGTCTGCTCTGTCTTCTCGATCCCCAGTGAGTTGTGGTGGAAAATTTTGCTATAAACATCTAGCTTACATTCCACCATTTCATTCATTATCTGTTAGTTATAAAAATGTATAATCATTAGTTTGGGAAAACAGAATTAAATTCATTTTTATAACTATATACTGAATTAATATGAAGTGTGCGTTCCCTGAATAGTCAAAGAACCTAGAATAATATTAAATCAAATATTCAAAGACCAATCAGATTGATAATTCATATTTATAAGTAAAATCACATCCTATTGGTCATTTAATAAATGTAGCTAATCCTCACCGCTACACATGGCAACTCAAAATGCTAAGAAAAATAAAAGCACACTTTCCCGACCCAGTCAGTCATTTTGATGTAAGATTTGTGGGGGTACACACTTTTGTTCCAACCACATTATTGTAAAAGAATAAATAAAGAGACCATGCCAAGTGGCAGGCTCCTTAATAATAATAATAATAATAATAATAAAGAGACCATTTGGTCGGTGAAGAACAATAAGGGCCTTGCCTGTTTGGCAGGTCCCTTAATAATAAAGACTATTTAGTCCGGTGAAAACCAATAGTGGCTGCCCCTAATACTGTGTAAAGAAAAGAAAAGCAACAAAACTGACCTGAAAGAAGTGTTCCTTCTCATCAGGATTGTTCAGCAAGTTCTGAACGAGATCTATAAATTCTAAACTTGACAATTCTGGATTTCCACCATCGGCCTGGAAGACATGAGACCATTCATTCTGCTAGCATTGCAAATCTAAAATTTCTTTAGATTCAAAGAAAAGATATTTTAAATCACCTGTGAGAGCCATGACTGGATGAGTTCCTTCATCCTATCCAGGTGTGGCTGAACATGTTCAGATTCACAAGGAGCCCCCAGCTGACAGATGTTCAGGATCAGCTACAAAGAAATTACAGAAGATTTCAACTCAAGAACTTAATTTTTCTCTGACACACAAAATCCATTTACCTCATTGATCAAATCTAATAACCCAGAAAAACTAGAAAACATATCGTCTAAACTACACCATCAGCAGGGTTTGTGGTTCTTATGGTACCAGGGTTGTTTTCCTGCAGCAAAGCCAACATGGGTCAAATAAACCTCCAAGTTCATAAACAGGTTCCAAAATCATCAAAAGATCCCAGTGTTTGCTTTTGAATTATAATTTGGCAGTTTTCATCTAGAATTGTCTGTTGATGGCAGTTTTAGACATTTAACAAGGAAAACAGAAATAGTACTCAGCATAAATGAGTACACCCTACATGTAATAGTAATAGTAATAATAATAATAATAATACATCAAACCTATATAGTGCTTGTTTAGGGCACTCGAAGACGCTTGCATGCACTCTCACATTCACACACTGCTAGTGATGGTAAGCTACTTTGTAGCCACAGCCGCCCTGGGGCGGTCTGGCATGATTAAAGTATGAATTTAATCAGTAGCTCAATGAACAAACAATTTCCAGCCTTTTCACAAGGCAGTTTTATTTAACACTTGTTTTAACTCCATAACATGAAATTATTCCATCCCACAACAAACTCTACTACATCTAGAATTTTGTATGACCCCCGTGATCAAGGACAGCACCAAGTCTTCTAGGCATGGAATGAACAAGTTGGCAACATATTGCAACATCTGTCTTTTTCCTTTCTTCAAGAATAACCTCTTCTAAGCCCTTTTTACAAGACACACCTTGCTGGCAAATCGGTGTAAAATTACCGCAATGGTGTGTCTTTTAAACACGCCATGCCAGCATGGCTTTGTGCAATTTTTGTGGCATTTGTTAAACCTCGCATGGTAGTAATACTGCGGTAATTGTTTGACCCATAAATGATGATTGTGCCTTGGCGCAACAGACAGAGGTGTCATGATGACGTAGGTAGTTACTGCTAAGCTCCAACCAGCAACTACATAGAAAATACAAGTAAACGGGGCCGTAAGTTTTGCTTTTTGAACAAAATCAGCTGGGACGGTAAACTGCTTCTCTCCGTTAGAGCTGGAGCTCATATCGCCAGAGGCTGCACAGGGACTGAGGAGGACAGACACCCTTAGGAGCGGCTTGTTACAAAAACAATCGCAATAAAAATCAAATTATGTCCAAGATAAATGGAAGTCTGCGGCAGTGCAAAGACCACCCCATACCCCCTTTATGCCGCCATCACGTAGTCTTCTATAAAAAGGACACGATTGCGCCACATTCCCGTCATGGTCTGACCACTTATAAAAAACCTAATGGCTTCCTTGATTCTGCCATGGCGTTGTGGCAAATTGATGGCATTGTTTTGTAGAAATGGCTTTAGAGCCCGGATGCTGGATGGGGAGTGAAGCTCAACTTGCTGCTTCAGAATTCCCCACAGGTGTTGGATTGGGTTCAGATCAGGAGACATACTTGTTCATTCAATCACCTTCACCCTGTTCTTCTTCAGAACTGCAGCAGCAGCTTTAGATGTGTGTTCTGGATCGTTGTCTTGTTGGAAAAGTGCACGACGACCAAGTGCACGGAGTGATGGCAACATCTTCTCCTTCAGTACAGAGCAGGACATTGTTGAGTTCATGATCCCACCAATGAAATGCAGCTCCCCAACACCAGCAGCATTCATGGAGCCCCACATAAGGACACCACTATGTTTTACTGTAGGCACCACGCTTTTCTCTTTGAAATCCTCCCTTTCCAGTGCTATAGTTTTTAAACCATTAGATCCAAAAACAGGGACCATTGTCTCATCACTCCAGAGTCTATAGCCCCAGTAGTCTTTATGCTTTTCAGCATGGGCCCTAGCAAATCCTAGGCATTCTTTAATTTGCATAGGCTGTAGGGGAGGCTTCCTTTGTGGATGATACCCATGCATGCCATTCCTCTGCAGTGTGTGCCATATGGTGTCGTGAAAAACTGTCGCTCCAGTTTGGCTTTCTACTGCTTTAGCTAACGGCAGTGAACTTACACAGCAATTTTCTTCAACCCTTCTTTTCAGAAGCTGCTCCTGTTGAGACGTTAACTTCCGTGGATAGCCTGGATGTCTCTGTAAGATGGTTGCACTTCCATCTTTCTTACATTTTTGGATGACTTTTGCTACAGTATTTTGACTGATATGTAAAGCTTCGGTGATATTCTTGTAGCCCTAAACTTTCTGTGTAAAGAAATGATTTCCTTTCTCACATTTTGTGCTATTACTCTTCCATGCTGAGCCATTGCTGACAGCATGAAATGGGAAGGGCTTTCTTTGTTAAAGTGACTGAGTGTCTTTTTCCCTGGCAATAGGGGGCAGTCCATACTTAAATCATTGGAAGCAAGCAGTATTTTTGTGTTCGAGTAAGAACTTACCAACGGATGGTCATTAGGGTCAAAAATCCCTGGGATTGCAACCTCAGCCAAACAAGCACACCAGACTCCCTTTCATGACTGGCATGAAGTGAAGAGGTAAATGTGTAAATCAACAACGTTTATGAATGACAAACGTTTTTTAACTGCTTGTTACAAACCAGTAAATTCATGTTGTCCTCTAGGGCTCCCATAGAAGGGAGACATGGCATCTAATATGGCATCACCCAGAGACTTAGACCTGCTCCCATGTATTTTTTACCTGATTTTTATAGTTGTATGTTACAAAGCTGCAAATAATTTTCAACAACTGGGCATCGTTTTATTCATTTTCAGCAACATTTTGATGGATATTTGCAGAGATTAATGGTAAAAAGTACACATGGTTTCTTGAAGCAATGCCCTTTTATAGTCACATGTCTGCGGGACACCTCTGAGGATCATTAGACTCACCTATGGTTGAATGACTGTTAACTCGAATTTTGTACTCTTAAGTGTGGCTTTTCTCCAAAGACTAAAATTGGGTTTACTCATTTTCGCAACATGGGCTTTAATTGATTTGCTAGAAAAATCACTTTTTGTACATGCAAATGATCATTTCTGCAATCAATGGCCCATATTTGTAGGAGTATTTTGTAGTATGGTATCTCTTAGAGAATGTTGATTATGAAAGGAAACTAAAGGTTTTCTGAAAAATGTAGTGGGGTGTACTCATTTATGCTGAACACTGTGTGAGAGAGAAAGGAGATTCTTTAGAGAAATAAGGAGATTAAACTCCTCAAGAGCTAACTGTCCTCCACGCCGTGTTCTCTCCTCACGAGTCTCTGATCTAGAACAATAGCAATACATATTTCAAAACAACTTTTCATCAACAGACATATGAGAAAAGGTCAATAGAACTTAAATATAAAGAACAGATGGACAGCCAATCATATTAATGTTGCTTTGTGCTGAACCAATAGTGTGGTTTCAAATAAGGCCACACAATTGCAGAAATGCTGCTAACGACTATGTAGCTGTAGCCTCTTACTGCAAGTAACAGGTAAGACATAGCTGAAAAAATGGGAATAAATAAATAAAAGTGCCCTGAACAGTTCATTTGTGTGGACATATGTTGGCTCGGTAAAGCAGCTGTGCCAGCAACGATGCTGCTGCAGGCTTGGAGAAAGCCAGAAAACCTGAATTCTTCTGTAAGCTGGGGAAAACTACCAATATGTTGTTGCTCCTGAACCAGCATCACCCGCTGGGGTAGCAAGATGTAAAACTTTTTAACCCCACAAAAAAGCGAGGGCTAAACACCACACACAGCCATGCACGCAGAATATGGTCCTCTAGGCACACTGACCTGCATGTTTTCCATGTCTCTGCTTCAGCACACCTGATTTTCATTGCCTCCTCAGGAGGAAATCAAGTGCTGTGGTTGTCTGTCTCACTCACTAATTTAAAGAGCAAATAACACCTAAGTTAACTTATTTTGCTGATAACCTGTACAGATGAGTGTCTAATGGTGCTGTACACACGTGTAATCATTACTGTGGCAGTTTAGTGCAACTCGTTTTAAATTTATTATTTCAGCCCAAAACCATAACTCTATCTCCATCTTCAGGTTAAAACTCCGCTCCATATTCATGTCGAACCAGCTGTGGCTGATGGCTAAGCTGAAAAATCTGACGTTGTCAGCAAATGACTACGTGGCTGTACTGCGCTGGTCTCCAGGTGGGGCAGCCGCACCTCCACCTGGCTCAGCCACTCACCTGTCGATATGACACATTGGTGCTCTGAGCCTCCTTGAAAAAAATGCCCTACTCCCCTTTTTCATCTAATGATGCAGGTGACAGGAAATCCTCCAGAATGCTGCTGAATCTGTGTCTGCTTTCCTCCTGAGTGGTAAGTCTACTGTGTGTGTGTGCTTGCATTCACGCGCTCAGTAACAACTCACTGTAAGACTTGGGCTGCATGGTGGCGCAGTGGTTAGCACTGTTGCCTCGCAGCACTTTCAGATTCTCACCTGACAGTTTCCTTGATTTCAGCCAATTAAGCATACCTGCAAAAATGACAGAGGCTACAAGCTAGGTGCGCAAATGCAGTGTGTAGTAGAAGAAAAATTCTTCTTCTATGATTCATTTTAAGATGAAGTGGATTTTGAATAGAAATTTAGATTTCAATTGTTATTTTAATTATTTTAAATATTACAAAGGATTTTTTTTTGTTTATTTACACATTTTTATTGTGAAGGTGAAAAACATTAATTTGAGGCCATTACACTTTTCACCTTGCGCACCCCCGGGGGTGCACGCACCACACTTAGGGAATCCCTGTTTTAGATGTTAGAGTGAAAATATCAATGTGAAGCATCAAAAACCCACCTGTGCCCTGAGACCCAGAGTGAGCTGAGCCTTCTGCCTCCTTGTGAGTAGCTCTGGGACCAGGTCTGTAACCATAGTAACAAACTCCTCCAGAATGCCGTAATCAGCCACGTCTCTGCGCTGAACAGTCTTCCAGATCGCTGCAGAGAGCAGTCGAAGAGGAGGGACCAGAAGGCGCAGTGCAGGAAGAGGAAGAGTGGTACCTAAAAGTACAAATGAAAAACATGATCAGAGTTTAATTTTCTCTCTTGTGAAAGTAAGATTCTTTACTGATGGAGCCAGTAAAAACCCCAAACTTACTCCGACCATTTCATCACACATCAACAAAACTTGATTTAGTTAATAATAATGTAACAGGGGGCAAGATTATGGTTCCCCAAAGCCAAAAATAAAGAAACCAAGGCAGGGGTAGAAAAAGAGCTATAGTCTCTTATTTTTTCTGTTTGCTAAAATACAATCTATATTCATTAATTGCTCCTCAAAACTGTTTCAAACACAGATACTACCAGCTCAGCCCAATCTGTAAACTCACCTGAGCAGCAGTGGCAAAACTAAAGAGTTAGAAAACAATGCTCACACGCCTACCAACTGCATGTGGCTGCAGCAAAATGACGACTTGAGCACCACATCCAGTTGCCATTGTCTATTCACAAGTGATGCTCTGACCCCAGAAGTCACGTGGCCTAAAGTTATGTCGCCATTTTCCCTACAATCTTTTTATTGAAAGTTTTGAAAAACAAACATATTCTTAACACGAAAAGAGCTTTGAAATCAAGTTAATGTTTTTTTCTGCATTGAAACTGGATCAAATGTTTCATTCAATTCAAGTTTATTTATATAGCGCCAAATCACGACAAGAGTCGTCTCAAGGCACTTCACATAATAAACATTCCAATTCAGGTCAGTTCATTAAGCCAACCAGAAATAATGTTTCCTATATAAGGAACCCAGCAAATAGCATCGAGTCACTGACTAGTGGCAGTGTCTTTACAGCAATCCTCATACTAAGCAAGCATGCAGTGACAGTGGAGAGGAAAACTCCCTTTTAACAGGAAGAAACCTCCAGAGAATCCTGGCTCAGTATAAGCAGCCATCCTCCACGACTCACTGGGGATCGAGAAGACAAAGTAGACACACACACACACACACACACACACACACACACACACACACACACACACACACACACACACACACACACACACACACACACACACACACACACACACACACACACAAGCACAAACAACACACACACACACACAAGCACAAACAACACACACACACATCCACACACAAGCACAAACAACACACACACACAAGCACAAACAACACACACACACACACACACAGAGACAGACAGACACACATCCACACACAAGCACAAACAACAAACACACACACACATCCACACACAAGCACAAACAACACACACACACACACATCCACAAACAAGCACAAACAACAAACACACACACACATCCACACACAAGCACAAACAACACACACACACACACACACACACACACACACACACACACACACACACACACACACACACACACACACACACACACACAGACAAATGGGACTGCAAGGCACAGTGCGAGTATTGGGATTGGGCATTCGAGTTCTGTCTGAAGAGCAGAACCATTTTCGTTCACTTACGTTTTGGTCAATAACTAAATGTTCTTGTTATGTGTTTTTGGTCGATTGATGTAAACTCACTGAGATGTCCGGAACTTCCAACTGGAGCGATGTCTTCGACCGTGATCATCTTCTCTCAAACTCCGCCTCGTTTAGCTAACACAGAACCTGAAACCTGTTCTTTGATTTGTCCGTATCGTTTCTAATTTCACCCTGCACACAGTCGGTCGGTCCGACCAGAATCTTTGATCAGTAGCTTCTTCAGGGTGTCAGAGCCTTTTCCCTTGTTTTTCTGGTTCGATGGCGTCTTCTTCTTCTTCTTCTTCTTCTTCTTCTTCTTCTTCTTCTGGTGTTTCATTGGCGGTTGGCAAACAACGAATGGTGCATTACCGCCACCAACTAGTGTGGAGTGTGGTCTGGAACAGCGCTCATAAAACAAAATCAAACATGGGGGGAAAAATAATAATAATAATCAAAAAATAATATATATATATATATATATATATATATATATATATATATATACATACATACATACATACATACATACATACATACATACATACATACACACATACATATATATATATAGAGACATATATACATACACATATATACATATACCTCAGTCTCCCAAACATCCTTATCTCTTTCAAAAATCGAAATAAAATCTGCAAACAGTCACTTTTTGAATTCTGTCTCAATAAATCAAAAAGATCTAGTTTCACTTTCATCTGACTAAGATGTTGAATCATTTTCCTTCTTTCTGCCTGATATTTCTGACATTGTAATATAACATGATCTATAGTTTCGTCTTCTCCACAATAATCACATTTCCCTGCATTATGTTTCCCCATTATGAATAATGTATTGTTTAACCCAGTATGTCCAGACCTTAGTCTAGCCATGATCACCTCCTCTCTCCTACTCCTTCCAGTGCTTCTCATTTCTCCTACTCTTCTTTGAATTTTATACAACCATCTTCCCCTCCTTTCCTCCTCCCATTGTTTTTGCCATTTTTTCTTCATTTCTTGCCTTATTATGCTCTTGATCTCTTTTTGACAAAATTGAACATTTAACTGAACCGATGTATTTATTGTTGCGTCCTTAGCCATCTCATCGACTTCTTCATTTCCTCTGATTCCATAATGAGCTGGAATCCATAAAAAATGTATTGTAAGTCCCATCATGTTTAATCTATAAAGTGTTTGCTGAATCTCTATGAGTATGCCTGGTCTGCTTTCTGAATGGCTGCACTGTAAACTGGTCAATGATGAGCTGGAGTCTGAACAAATAACTGAGAATAATGGTCTGTTTTCTTCCACCCAATGAACAGTATGGCGAGCATTTCTCCTGTGTACACTGATAATCCATCACTTACCCTTTTTTTAACTTTAACATGAAACTCAGGAACAATAAAAGCTATTCCAATATGATCCACAGTATTCTTAGATGCATCTGTATATATTTTTACAAAGTTATAATAGTGATCGATATAATCCTGTGCTGTATGTGAGTTTAGTACGAATGACTTATCCTTATTATTTCTCTCTAATAATGTTAAATCAACAGACGCCTCAGGAAGAATCCATGGTGGAATAGCAGGCAATGGAACTCTTTGACTGATTTTAAACTGATCTAACTTAAGTTCTACTGGTTTTTTGATCATCATCCATCCAAAACTTTTTGTTTTCTTCTTTTCTTTCTCCCAGCAAGGTTTTAGTATGTCTTGTGTTGGATGATCTTCTTTCTGACCCTGAAGATTTGCCCAATAATTTAAAGCCATTTGTTCTCTTCTGATTTCTATTGGCATGTCACCCATCTCTACCTGTTAAGCTGCTATTAGGGTTGTTTTAAATGCTCCTGTACAGAGTCTCAGTGCCTGATTCTGGATAGAATTTAATTTTAAAAGAGTAGTTTTTGCTGCTGAATTATATACTTCACACCCATAATCTAATACTGATCTGATCAATCCCAGTGTATATGGCCTTCATAGATTTCCTGTCTGCACCCCATTCACTCCCAACTAAACACCTCATTATATTTAGAACCTTTTTACTCTTATCCATTATATTCTGAATATGTACACCCCAAGTTATCCTTTCATCAAACCATACGCCTAAGAATTTAAATTTATTTACCCTTTCTAACTCTTGACTATATAATTTAAGTTTAAGATCCTCTCTTACTTTTTTCCTTGTAAAGAAAATCGTCTTAGTTTTATCTACAGAGAATTTAAAACCCCATCTGTATGACCATTCCTCCACTTTGCCAATTGCTTCTTGAAGTTTCTTTACAATAAACTCTACCTTTTTCCCTCTTTTCCATATTGCCCCATCGTCTGCAAAAAGTGAAAAACCCATCCCATCTTTTATACCATTAAAAACATTATTTATTGTTAGAGAAAATAATAAAGGGCTCACTATACTACCTTGTGGTGTACCATTTTCCACAGGAAACTTTTGAGATAAAACCTTCCCAATTCTCACTTGAATTAGTCTTCCCATTAAAAAGTTCTTGATCCATTCAAACATCCCCTAGATACAAAAAACCTTTGTAACTTCTGCTAAAAAGCTCCAAACTATATCAAACTTGGTGGCAGTCATCACACAACTGCAGTCAACACATGCATGTGCTCACTTGTTCAATTAACTTTAACTCCACCCACTTACAGCTTTTTGTCTCTAGATGACCCATGCAACGTTTGATTGATGCCAAATTAACAGAAAACCATCTTTGATGACCTCTATGGCATTTAGTTGTAAATGGTCACAGCGCCCCCTAGATGGGTTCAAACTTTATTAACTTCTAAAGACAAGGTCAGAATGGCATTATACTTGGCTTGTGACATCACGTGACTGCACCAAACACATTGATGGGGTTGTTGGTTCAAATCCCTGTAGCTCCACCCCTTTCAGCTCACTGGCTTTAGATAACACACACAACGTCCGATTGATGCCAAAATAACAGAAAACCATCTTTGTCAACCAAAGCTGACCTCAATTGGACTTTTCTGTAGTTGGTCACAGCGCCCCCTAGATAACTTTAACCTTCGATAACTTTAAAAAACATGGTCAGAATAGCATTAAAGTTGGTCACTGTCATCACACCACCAGTGTGGTAAAGATAGAGTATGCCCTAGTGGTGAGACGTGTAATATAATGGTGGGCTCAGAGGAGATGCTGAGTCAGGGTGAGGTGCGGACGAGGCGACCGTTAGTGGTTTCTGGTGTCGGGGTGGTCGACGTTTCTGTTCCGCGGATGTGCCCTGGTGCCCCGGGCTGCCGGCCAGGCCGGAGCGGTGTGGAGCTGCGAGGGCCGAACGACGCTGCTTGCAGCTTTAATTTGTATTTATTTTTCTGTCATAACAATACATATAATATATATGAAAAGGAAAATAATTATCTAATAAAGATCATAATAATAATTAGGGATGAGCGAGTACACCACTATCTGTATCTGTATCTGTACTCGGAATGGGCGTGGCATAACCCGGAAGTGGGCGTGATTTAATCGGAAGTGGGTGTGGTTTACATCAATATATTATTTTAAGTCTGAAATTGATATGGATTGATCAGAAGTTGCAATGTGTATTGTTTATTTGAAAACTATTTACAGAGCAGCCTCAGAATTGAGATCAAATATTTTGATCACAATAGTAAAGGAACTATTTCAGAACAAGTTTTTCAATAAAATCAGAACATTAATATTTGAGTGCATGGATTAATACATCTGAACTCATGCAGTAGGAACTAGGAAATATGAAATGCTAGAACCAGACACAACTTTATATATTTTTTTTATTTTAATTTGATTAAACTGATTTTTTCCTTAATGTTCTTGGCATTTTGCCCCACACAAAGTTAAACAAAACAATGTGGATTGAGGTGTGTGTGTCTGAGAGAGATAGAGAGGGAGAGAGAGGGAGTAAAAAAAAAAAAACCCGACCGGAGCGGACGTAGTGACTGATGCAGCACGTCAGCCCTGTCTTGTCAAATACACCAGGTAAGTTGCATTCTTCCCAGCCAAGAAACGCACCACTTGCCCTTCCAACGACTGTGTCCTCTGGATCGGCATCTTCGTCAATATTTCTCCCTCCTGCTGCGGCTCGTGCAGTTCTTCAATGGTCTTGTCCCGTTCAATTATGGTCTTCTTTAGTAGCTTTACTTCCTCAAAAAGTTCCGTGAGCTTAAACAGCTGTTGCGTTACCTTAGCCAGCTCCTCAGACATGCTGTTTATTGACTTACGAATATCCTCCATATCGTATTCCATCTGCAATACTCTCTTGGGTGGCATCTTTTCTCTTTAAGTGCTGTATTGTTTAATTTTGTTTCCTAACTCTGTGAGAAAAGAAATTCCCCTTGAAGAGACAGAATGGAGACAGAAAGGCAACACTCACACAGGGTACCGCCATCTTGGAATTCAGAGTGGAGATGGAAATTAATACTGTTAGAAAGTAAGATTGCTACTCCTCTCGTTTTTTTTTTCATTGACATGAGGAGAAATATGTAGTCCATTCACATTGAGTGAAATACATATATAAATCTGCATTAAGCTTACCTTCCGGGAATGGTAGTATTTGTCTTCTGTGGTGTCTAGGACAGCACAGCGGGAGAGTGAAGGTAGGGACGGGGGAAGGCAGGTGTGGCGGGGTCGTCGGGGGAGAGTGGTAAAAGAAGAGAAGAAAGAGAGAGGGAGGAGGGGGTGGGTGGGGGGTACATGAACCTTTTACAGACAAGCTGACCTCCAAAAGCGAAGTGAAAAGAACACTTCCATGAGTGAGGGAACAGTCCCAGATCAATCTGGGGGAGGGAGCCCTCAGGATGCAAACCCAAAGTCCTAACGATAGAAAAAATGGTGAGTTATGCATGAAGCGGAACGTCCAAGAGAGGGTTTCAACTTATGTTCATGTACTTAGCAGACGTTTTTGTCCAAAGCGACTTACAAGTGATAATCGGCATGTTGCCCTTGAGGCTAACAACAACAATAACAACAACAACAACTTGACATCAATCATGGAGAGGAGGGAACAAGGAATGGACAGTAGAGAGGGGGGACGGGTGCAGGGAGGGTGCTAGTTAATAATATGCTCTCTGAAGAGCTCTTCAACCAGAGTGATGAGGGATATCATTTACGAAGGACTAAAAATTTTAAAATGCCTAGGGTAAGAACCACTAAAAGGAGTTTCTGTGTATCAGTATGTGGTGTGAAACTGTGGAATGGGCTGCAGAAAATACACAAACAGTGTCCAAATATAAACAAATTTAAATCAATGTATAAAAAATGATAATTAATGGATAAGAAAATGAGGTTCTCTGAGGTTATGGAAACTATGATATTGCCATTATTATTTTGCTGTTGTCTATGTTATAATTCTCATTGTTATTATTATTATAAATATCACTATAGTACCATAA